GACGACTTACATGATGTGGATTACCCCTAGCAACCCACCATACGGCGTACAAATATGCGGAAGAAGAACAAAGACTTATTGTTATGCATTGACTACCATCACCTTAACGCACAAATGGTGAAGGTGCTCTTTCGCGCATTGACAAGTTTCTCGAGCAGTTGGGAGGTGCAATTGTTTTCTCCAAATTGGATTTAAAGGCAGGGTATCATCAAGTTCAGATCCACCTACAAGATCAGTACAAATCGGCGTTCAAGATGCCAGATGGGCATTTCGATTGGGTAGTCATGCCTTTCAGCCTCACCAATGCCCAAATGGCCTTCGAAGTGGCCATGATGACTGAGTTTTGTACGATGTGAGACCTTTTTCTTTTTCGCATTTTGTGCTTGTCTATTTGGACAACATTATTGTTTACAACTGGGCTTTGGATGAGCATTTGGAGCATCTACGTTGTGTTTTGGAAACCTTTCGCCGGGCCAAGTACAAGGCAAAATGCAACAAGTGTGAATTTGTATGACAAGAGTTTTTTGAGTATGTGCCACTTTGTCATGCCACAAGGCATTTGTTCTCTTTCCGACATGATTCATGTTCTCCAAGAATGGCCCGAACCCACTAACGCCACAGAGGTCCAATATTTTCTTCGCCTCACAATTTATTATCAACCTTTCATCAACAGCTACGCCAAGAGGGTCCAGTGGTACCGTCTTCACCCGAATAGAACGACCGGTCTGATTGTGTGATGCTCCCTGCTAAGCAAGGAATGGCCACATCAAAACTAACTGCCTTACTTGCATGCGGTGCAAAATAAATGGGCATGGAGTCGCCCACATGAAAACTGACTGCCTCCCATGCATGAGGTGTAAAATAGATGGGAACGGAATCAAATGTGAGGACCAAAAGTGGTTCAACTTGGCTTAAGGGCAGATCTAAATGGGCAGAATAGTCCTCAAAAATAAAAAAGTGAGGACCAATGGCTTCCCCGTGTACCCTGTGCACAAGAGAGGCTGGTTGCAAGGCAGTCTTGTACGGCGGTGTAGGGGATCCGATCACCACACTGCTGGTGGTATTCACTTTCTTGAGTGGGTCTTACCTTGCTGCAGCTGACTGTGTTTGATGCTGCAACCTGAAGTCGCATGCAGGTCACTGTTGCACCGAAAACAATGGCCATACTTTTTACGAGTCACATAAGAACTGTGCGTGAGGTTGTAACATACCCACAGGGCTGAGCCTGATGTTATCCGATCCCAGAATAGGTAGGGATGTGTGTCTTACACTTGCCTTTAGGTTTGTGTGAAAAAACACCCACCAGGGCTGCTGCTACCGTTTTTCCCTCCCCTCGATCGGGGCATCAACCTGGTTCTCTTCAAGTACGATAGGCAGTTGCTGAGCAACCGCAAAGTACTGTTGTCCTGGATGCGGCTTGGTCCTATCCACAGACTCTGAGGAAGAAGAAGATGAACCTGGTTGACGGTGCATGTTGCAGGCGGCAACATTGGTGCGGCATACTGCAGATGCCTTGTCGAGGAGCCCGGCTGACGTGATGAGTGAGTCAAAGGAGTTCGTAAGTTGCTGCTGAAGTAGGTCGCAAGACTGCTCAATGAACAATTGTTGGAAACCTTCGGAAGCTGGTGGCATATTTGGCGTAGAAGCCACGTGCTGAAACTCAGCAATCCAATTTGCACTTGGCATGTTGTTCTGCTAGAAGGACATGATCTTCTTCATGGCCACAAGATTGGCAGTCAATATATCTTTTGTCTCCAAGTTCTGCATAGCTTCCGGCAAGTTTCCTAGCCTCGTCTCCAAGCTGCGAAGGTTCGAGGGCCCAAGCTGGGCACTGGTCCCGGAAGGAAGGTCTTTGAGAGCATCCTTCATCTCCTCGAAGTGTACGTACATGTCAGCAGTCACGTCGATTACTTCGTTGCTGTGCCATGATCTCAGCTTTTGTTGCCTTGCCTAACAGTTGGATCTTGTTAGGCTGGCGTTGATCTGCCAGGGCTTGACATAAGATTGAAAGTTACATCCTGCTGCAGCGCACAGATGGAGATGAGCTCAGAGACGCAAGACAACAAATTGCTGCAGTGTGGGTCTCCTTCTCCATCATTCTTCCAAGTAGCTGCTATTGTCTCCAAGGCTGTTTCCTGTCCAGTAGGTTGGAGCAGATAGTATTCTGCAATATTCTTGCAGTTTCTCAGCAGGCTGTAACACTAACCGTTTTTTTTTTGTATTTTTTCTGAGTTCTGGGTCCTAAACCAGTAACTGAAAACAGGCCAAGACCGACGGGAACATTTCTATAAATTCCCTGAACTACTGTTAAGACGGTACTACCGGACCTAAAACTTCGTTTCAGGCCTACACAGACTGTTGCTTTGTTACTGCCTCAGACCGGTACCGCTGTTACTGGAAAAGCACAGACCCATAACTCGTAGCCGTGTCCTAGGTTCTAGGAGTCCGGTCCAGTAGGTTAGTGTAAGTCTACAAATATAGTCAGTCCAGAGAGCTAGGGATCTTTTGGTCGGTTAACCAGTTGGTCTTCAGTTGGTGAAGTACTGTTTGGAGATTGCGTTGACGCCGCCAGGCTGCCGAAGCGGTGAGAGCTTGGAGGCTGCTCCTAGGGTCTGGATTGCAGCACCGCCGAAGCATGCACTTCAGGCTGCTGAGCCTGGTGCCACCATATCTGTACTGTTAGGGTTCGGAGCTGCCATATCTTTTTCTACGTGACAGCTGTAACAGTTCTGGTTCTTCTTCAAGCTGAGGGGCCTTTCTTCTTCCTGCAGTTGGCGCTTTTCTTCCTCGGAGGTCTCCAACACAGCGCTGAGTCACCCAAGTGTTTTCTGAGGGGTGCTCAGGACTGTGGAGGCTGTAGAGGGTGGAGATGGTGGTCTGCAGGTTGAGTGCTGCATCTTCACGCTGCGCGCCATAGCCAAAGAGGTGGAGGTTGAAGTTGGAGGGTGGAGGAAGTTTCCAGAAGCTTGCTGAAGCTGCATTCTGAGTTTGTTCAAGGTTGTTTACTCTCGGTTGAGAATCTGATCCTGGGGTTGTTTGTGAAGCTGATTGAAATGCAGAGAGACGGGGGGACCGTGAATTGACATTTCATTCAATTCTATTTGAGTTTTGAGCTCCCGCTGTGCATATCTCAGTCTGGATTAGTGTTGATTCCTCTCCAAGTCTTCTTTATCACCTCGCATGAGTATGGGAACATGTCGATGCTCTGTTGGATGGTGTTTCAATCAGCCACATAACAATTCTGTGCTGTGTGGCTACTTCTTTTGCAGCTGAAGCCTCCTGTCGGTGTTTGGCTTCCTCATCTGCCCGTGCTGTGTCCGGCCTCGGCCTTCGGGGCCACCTCAAAGTCTTCTGCATTTCTTCCTGCACGGCCAGCATACGGCCCCTGAAGGCTGCCACAGTCTCTTTGTCCTCTGCGGGACATGGGCACGTACAGCAAGGTCGCTAACATCAAGCGGTCCTCTGCAGACATGTCACCCGCTGATGTATCACGTGTCGACATGTCACCTGCTGACGTGTCGCACGCTGACGAGTCACGACTGACATGGCAACTTAACCAATTTCAACAATGAAAGGATGGTAGAAGAAGTGGGCAACAACAGCGTGTGTGTGTGTGTGTGTGTGTGTGTGCGTGTGTGTGTGTGTGTGTGTGTGGTGTGGTAGACACGAGAATGGCGCGTCCGCTAGCGCTCTCGCTGGAACACTTGCGATGTTCTGTTGCACGCGCATGCGGCCACAGGTGCTTACCAGTGTGCATGCGAGCGCATGAATGCGCGCAGTGGCACGCGTGGGAGTGCGCTGAAGCATGGAGGCACTCACGTAACAGAGGGAGTGCCAGTAAGCCTCTGATCACGGCTGTGTGCGAGTAAGAGCAGCCCATGCGGGAGTGGCAGAGTGCTTGCAAGTGGGCAGGCTATACAACACGGACGGGGTGGAAATGGTACTTTGGCCGGCTATCGAGGAGTGTCGTCTTTTCCGGCTTCGCTCCTCAATCCAGGCAGTGCAGCAGGCTTGCACGCGGAAAGAGGTGGAGACTTTCCTAGTTGAGGGATTGTCTTCATGAGGGAATCCTTCACCTGCTCTACGTTGATAACGAGGGAGCGGGGAAGAGTTCTCCTGCGGGGAGTACCATACCCATTTGGAACAAAAGGGGAAAGCGCATCCGTGGTGCCACCGATGCTTGGCCGCATTCCCAACGCCAAAAAGGAACGAAACTATCGAGCGGTGGCTGTGCTGACGTGGCGATGATGGGACCGCATTTGGAGGAAAGTGGCACCGGACACCCCCTGGCCATGGTCTTGGCAAGCCATACTGGCTGGACACTGTCCGGCAATGGAAAGTGCCCCCTCCTATGTGAGTAACTTGTATAGCTTGGGTAGACAGTCTGTCCTATGGGCGCTTTGGTGGCAGCGCTGCCTTCTGGTCTTAGAAGGGGTCAAGATTGAGGGCCCTGAATTGACAAGGCAGATAAGGGAACTAGTGCAATTGGAACTGACACGTGGATGGAGTGACCTTAAGCCACAGTTAGACATTTTTCAGACAGACCGGGATGTAAAGAGGCAATTACGGGGTTCGGTATGGAATGGTTGGGCAGGCAACGGGGCTGATGGATGGCCCGGATTGAGTGGACAGGGGACCGGGCCACTGCGACAGAGAAGAAATTCCGAGAGATTACAGACTCATCTTCAATGACTGGACCCACATTGACCCAACCTTCCCGATGAGGCCCCCGTTTGATTTCCTGGACCCATTCCCCCCTCACCCCCTGGCCCTGATGGAAGTTCTCATATGACTCGGCTGCAAGAGTGTGCCTTGAGCATGACATGATCACGACAGGATCACGACATGATCACGACAAGATTGCAATAAGACTGGACCGGACGAGCCTGAGATAAGCCTCCCCGGTGCCCCCTGGGCGTTGCTTGCTGAAGGCCCCTCGAAAACCATCAAGGTTCTCACAAGCTGCACAGGTGCACATGGGTGCGCCTGAGCGGACGGGATGGCTTGTGTGTTGGTACATTCAGCTCTGAAGGGCAGTAGCCCTTGTATGCTTAGTCAGAAGATGCAAGTGGGGGCGACAATTGAGTGGTGAATGACGATGGCGACTTCGGGTGATTTGCGGACAGAAGCAGTTGAGTGGTTTACAGCTGCCCAGGAGACTAGCGTGCGGTTCAGCCTTGCGGTGGCGATGCCGTCGATTTCGTGGCTTCGGAGTGTGATGCAGGGTCTATTGGAGATATCATGGGGGTTGGAGGAGGGTCCGCCCCCCCATCTGCATGCGATCTTGGATAGACCACGACGGGACAGATTGATGCGGAGCCACTTTGAGGAGCTTGAGGAGGGGCAAGCTCTATACGCCGTGTTGGAGGCCCGATACTACGATAACGAGGACGACATCAGGGACGATGCCGACAGCGACGCAAGTGCGACCGGCGGCCATGCTATCAACAATCTCAATGAAGCCAGCACCTATATTGTCGACGATCAAAATCACAATACCAACAACCACAATGATGATGACAATAATAAGAGTGCCGATAATGATGGTGGCAAAGACTGCTTCGAAGGTGACGATGCCGCTCTCCTTGAGGCTGTTGACGACAACAACATTAACATCAGTCTTGATGACAACAACAACAACAACAAAAACACCACCGGTGATGTCAGCGATCTGTATGAAGATGATATCAATGTGCTTATCAAGAACATCAAGGACGGCACCATCAATAACAATAACGACGATGACTCCAATAACAACAATAACAACTGCAATTCGGCTGGAGACAATACGCCGGGGAACCGCGACGACTGCAACAATGGTGTTAGTAACAACAACAAAGCCGGCGACAACAAAAATGCACAGATAACAATAGCGTCACTCACGGAGCGGGCGCAAAAAGCAATAGCAACAACTGTACTGTGCATGACGGTACTGTGCGTGACGGTGAAACGGGAGGATGGATTTTCAACTTGTGCGCGCCAGGAAACGACGATGCTTGCCGGTGTTTTTTGGGGTTTGATCAGGGGAATGGGCGAGTGGGGTGTATGATTGGAATGATTGGCAAACGGGAAGACTGTGTGGGAACGCTGGAAGTTGGATGGTGGCGCGTAGGGGTGGGATAGTGATGCTTGGATAACCGGGTCGCATAGGGTAGCATGTGAGTGATTGGTTCCATCATGCTCTGTTTTGGGTCACGTGGTAATGGTCATGTCTGGCTTATCGATTTGCCATGTGGATTTGGTAAACTAATATGGCAACCTAATCCTTGTGCGGCTCTTTAGAATACAGCATTTCGCCATGTGGCAGAGCAGATGGCGCAGTGAGTAACTAGCATCGGGGATAGGCATCAGGGCTGCCTATGCGAATCATTGTGTTCTGCCACGTGGCTGTTTTGCTAGGATTTTTCTACCTCCCTTTCGATGACGAATCCACATGTATTCTTGCCTTCTCTGATTACCCCTCCTCTTGCTTGATAAGCCTTTTAGGGTAGGCATAGATCTTGGGTCTCGAAGGGCGGTTGTATTAATTGGTCCTCTATTCTCCCTACTGCTGATTGCCTCTCCTCCTCATGGCATGGTAAGGATTTATGTGTCAAATGATGAGGAACTCAGAGTAGGGATATGACTTTGGATTACGATGGGCAGTTAAGCCCCTCAGTTGAGGGCCATCAATGCTGCTCATCAGTTACTTGGTGTGCTTGTGTGTCGCTTTGGATGACCATTCAGATGACCACTCTCCTTCAGTGGGAAGCACACGTGGCATGCCTACACCAGTTTGAAATGTTTTCATAACAATCATTTTTACATGTCAAGGGACGCTGGAACTGCTTTCCAGCAGGTGCTGCTCCCCACCAATAGATGGAGCCTCCCCGAGCATGCTAGTGGTGTCTGCTCTTATCAGCACCTCTAGCATTCACTCGGGTTGTTTTCGGGGAAAAAAAAAAAAGAAAAAAAGTAGTCCACTCAGTTAATCCCCGGGGTTTTCCCCTGGGCAATCAATGCTGGTGGAAGTCAGAGTCTCTCAGGCCTTTGCTCCAAACTCTTTCCATAACTTTCTCCACATACTTTGTGAATGAGACGCTGGACCCAGTTTCCAGCAGGTGCTGCTCCCCACCAATAGACGGAGCTTTTTTGTGTTAAAAAAAAAAAAGAGAGATTTTGGTTTCCAACTTTCCATCGATGGATCATGGTGAGGCTCTCCACCGTGTCTACAAGAGCAGGGAAGTAGTATTTCTTCAATGAGGTTTCTTCATCAGCCTGTTCGTCAGCATCATCATCGCATTTCTTCAATGTGGTTTCTTCATCAGCCTGTTTGTCAGCATCATCATCACGGGTATTTTAGTCAGTTTTTGATTCAGCATCATCATTCATCATCATGATGTGCATCATCTTCATCCTCATTATCGCAAGTAATGGAGCACACCTCCACCAGCCACCTCCTCACCTCCCGTCTACTGATCATGCACACCCCCTCTTTCGCCCCTACACCTCACCCCTTGCTCCCTCTTCTCCTCTCTCCGCCTGGTATTGCAAACTAAAAGTCCTGGCCAGGCAAATTGCGAACACCAGTCGGAGAGCAATGGGAACCCCTGAACGACAACATCTGCGGTGGACACACCAGGCCTCAAGACTGCTTAAGAGACAATGACATTCGGCACCCGAAAAGCAGGGAGTGGAACCCAACTCAAGATAGACTCCGGAGGCAACGACACTCAAGTCAGGGAAGGAACCCATGGAATGCTGAACACAGTGAGACAAGTGAGCTGCAAGCTTCCCACAAGACTACCGGGCTACAAGACGGGATAGAATGGTTCGACGCACAGTAAACTGCAGCCTTGTATACAGCACCACCGCACAACAGTGAGGCAACACACTGGCTCTAGCACTCAGTCTACACAATCTGCAGCCTGGTATACAGTACCACTGCACAACAGTGAAGCAACACACGGGCTTTAGCACTCAGTCTACACAACGATTGTTGGGAACAGCCCTCGCTCAGCACAGCACGCACCTCGGGGTTCGGAGCTATCCTGTAGAGGTGAGTAGGAGGTTTAAGGGCTTGGGGAGGGTTTATGACAGCGGGCTGAGGAGCAGAAGGCCGAGACTCCTAACAAGGAATGCTGGTCAGTCTCTCGTGTGTTGGGGCCAAGGACGTCCACGGTTGTTTAAGGGGAGGATGGACAGGGCAAGTAATTAAGACTGTATGTGTAGCTTTGTAAAAGGGAGGTCAGTCAATCCCCTCCTGGAGAGGGTAATCAATGCTGCCTCCTGTTGTGTCCCCATTTCAGATAGAACAATAATCAAACAGGG